ACTGTGACTTTACAGAAGTAGATTGCGAGGCCTTTCTTCTAAAGTGCTTCTGTGTGGACGTGAAACACTTAATCGTTTGTATCACCCAGAAACTTCCAAAATTGGGGAAGTTGACAAAAATTGAATAACACTAAATAAAATGGTGGTTTCGGGAAAAGGAAAAGTGCATAAAGACCTCTGACACCTTTGTGCAAATTAGAATGTGTCCCCCTTCCTTCCTCTGGACTTGACCAGTAGAGTGTGGACTGGGTCTCAGCCCCAAATCATCCCCCAGATCAGCTCCTCTCCTATAGTCAACAACCTGCTGGACTGTAAACAGAGGCCCCGGGCAGATAGAAATTGAGTTCTTAGGAAAGTTTCATGCAGGAAACTGGGGCGTGAGACTTGGGTGGATGTCAAGGGTTTAGAGCAACTGGAAGAAAGAAGCAGCAGGTCTTCCTGACTGGGGACCGTCAGAGCAGAGGCAGAAAAGAAGAGGTGAAGGACAGCGAGCAGATGCAAATCTCTTAACTCTTGGTTGTATTTTAAGGTGGGTGAAATGAGGTAAAATTTCTCACAAAACAAGATGTTGTTGTTGTTAAATGCCATTGAGTCGCTTCATAGAGATCATAGGGATCCTGTATAGGGTTTCCAAAGAGCCGTTCTTGGATTTAAACTGCCAAGTTTGCAATTCAAACTGACCTTGCAGTCCAGTGCATTCTCCTACAGTGCCACACCAGGACTCTAAGAAGTCCCTATGGAGTGAAAACTCAGATTCTAACTAAAATGTTAGAGTCTAGCCAGAGACACTTCTGAAGAAAGGCCTGACAAGCTACTCCCAAAAATCAGCCACTGAAAACCCTATGGAGTACAGTTCTACTCTGACGCACTGGGGGTCATCATGAGTCAGGGTCTATTCGGCATCGTCAGGTGACTGGTTTGTATAAGGAGCATGCGGAGTGGACTGTGAGGCACAGGGAGACTGCTGTTGTCTTGTTAAGTGCCATCAAGTCAGTTCTAGCTCTTAACAACTCTGTATAAGGTTTCCAAGGAGGGACTGGTGGGTTTGAACTACCGACCTTGTGATTAGCTGTCAAGTGCACCAGGACTCCAGAAGACTGCTAACACCTAACAAGTGTCAGGGATTATTAGTCCATTATTAGCTATGGCATTTGATTCACTGTCCTATGAGAGAGGTTGAGACTGTGTTTGTGTTTTCAGGACATGAAACTCCAAATCTCTAAAATTAGGACCATAATCTTGATCTTATTAGTCTGGATTGTTTTCATTCTAGCCAATGATCTTTCTTTTCTTAAAAATGTTTACGTTAAATTGCTTAAATAGATAACACACCTAACTTAATTCAAAAAATTTTAAATCCAAAGGGATACAGGAATTCAGTGGAACATTTCTCTCCACCGCTCTTTCGCAATTATACAGATATCACTGCCCTCCTCACAGACAATCAGTGTTAACAGTTTATTCATATAGCCTTCCAGAGATTTGCTTTGCATTAAAAGCAGATAAATATGTGTTTATTTATCTCCATTTTATTTTATTTTTTTAATATAAATTGGCTGTTGAGTCAATTCTAGCTCATGGCGACCTCACGTATATTAAAGTAGAACTATGCTTCATCGTGCTTTCATTTTGGAAGTAGATCACCAGCCCTTTCTTCTGATGCACACTATTGTACCTTGTTTTGTTTTTCAATGTAACAATTTCTGTTGGATTATTCCAACAGCAAGGAGTCTCTCTGTCTCTCTTTTATGACCACACAGTGTTCCATTGTATGGAATGGATGCAGATCAGTAATTTGGCCTAACCTCCACTGATGAGCATTTGATTCATTTCTAAACTTTAGCCATCATAAACATTATAAAGGAGCAGTACTAGTTTACATTCCCATCAGTCTGTTTCTCCACATACTCGACAGTGTTACCAAACTTTTGGATTTCTGCCAATCTGATAAGGAAAAAACAGAATTTTTTAGTCTCAATTGCATTTGCATTTTCTTCCTATAAATGGGACTGAGTATCTTTTCATATGCTTTAGGGCCATTCTTTCTCTATGAAGTGTTTATTTACTTGTTCTGCCCGATTTTCTACTAAGTAGTTGTTAATTTCTTCTTCATTTAGAAGAGCGCTTTATACATTAAAATTTAAATCATGGAAATGAGTCCACTGATTTTAGTGGTAGTTGTAAATATAACTTCTTTTTCCATTTGTTCGTTTGCCTCTTAACACTGCTTTTGTAGTTTTTTCTATGCAGATTTTTTTTTAAAAAAACATGGCTGAACCTGCCTTTCCTTTTATGGCTAAAGTATGTTTGGATCATACTTCATCTAGTTTCATAATACAGTGGGTCCCTGCCTTCAAGTTGTTCAATTTGTTGTTGTTGTTAAGTGCCATCGAGTCAGTTCTGACTAATAGCAACCCTGTATAAGGTTTCTGAGGAGAAGCTGGTGGGTTTGAACCGCTAGTCTTATGGTTAGCAGTCCAGTGCCTATCCTACAGTGCTACACCAGGACTCCAAGTTGTTCACTAGTCAGTAGGAAAATCAAGAAAAGTATCTAAATAATTGTAGTTGTTGTTATGTGTGGTGGAATCAGTTCTGACTCATAGTGACCCTGTAAATCTTTACAGGAGCAGAAAGCTTCATCTTTCGCCCATGGAACAGCTGGTAGTTTCGAACTGCTGACTCTGAGGTTCGCAGCCCAATTCATAACCACTCGCTACCAGAGTTCCTTAAAATAACTGTAGTAGAAGTTACCATATGATCAGTACTCTGAGGTGGCACAAAGTGCTGTTTCTTTATCTGTCTAACCATCCATCCAGTTATCGGTCTACCAGTCCATCTGTACATTCACCCATTCATTTATCATGCTTTTAATGAGCTCTTTCTAAGGGCCAGGAAATCTACAAAGGAAGCATGATGATATTTTGAGGTGGTTCAACAGGGGGGCTAGAATGGCAGGTGCCCACATTTGAATCCTGGCTCTTTACTTACTCCTTAATATCTCCATGCTTCTGTTTTTCATACTATCCCACAAGACAAGATAGAATGTAGGGTTAGGGGTTGAGGAACAGATGACATAGTGAGTAGCTTAGGGAGAGAGTTGTGATGGTGTTACAGTGCCTGGATTTGTGATTTCAGGTGGTGAAATCTGGATTCTGGCTAGACCCAGAGGGTGGCAATTAGAGTAGATAATAAAAGTAAAGATCATGTGCATTGAACAGGTCAAGGAACTGAGGGGACTCAGTATTGGATGATCATCTACACAGTCCTTGACATCACCCAAGATGATGGCAAGACACAGAGTGGAGAAAAGCCTCAGAGTCTGGTACCCTCATCCTCCATGAATGAATGAGGTGGATGACTTTGTGGAAGACTGAAGGCAGCAAGAAAGAGGTAGAGAGTGGACAACAAGAGTTCCCACATACAGGTATTTTTATATGTATCTAGGTAAATGATGGTCAGGAAGTGGTCACATGAAGTGAGAAAGGTGCCTACCCTACCCGTTTCCCTGAGATTACAGGGATGTAGAAAACAGAACTGTCTCTTTTGAGAAGCAGCCAAGGGACAGTGATGTCAGAGAAAGCCATGTTTTAGTAGCAACCCCACAACAGACAGTGGTGAGATTGAGGGAGGGAGTCATGGGGTGAAGTTTTCAGCAAGAATCTCTGAACTTTTAAAGCCTCAACTGGCAGCCTTCTTTCAACATCAGCAACAAGACCAAGCTGACCCGGCAGGAACTGAAGAGTGGTAGAGTGGGTGGCTGCTATTCCTGCATCATGAGTAGATGCCAGGGTTCTAACTCGGTACCACCTGGATCCTGAGGTTCTATAAATTGGGGGTCCAAGAGTCTTTGTTCTGTGACTTGACTCCTGTCATATTACATCAAAACTGTCAAGACTTTCCTCCTCCCTGTGATCAAACAGGCCACACCTTGCCCCAACCAAAGTCCACCTCACCCTCAACTACCTTAAACTCACCCAATCATGAGGAAGGAGTTTCATGTTCCTGATAATTAAGTGCTTCGCGGAGAGGTGGATTTCTCCAGCTGTCCTCCAGTTTTTCACTGACACATGAACATTTCACTGACACGTGAGCATATATGACTGGCACAATTTTAAAGAAAACATTCACCTGCTGGCCATCTCCCCAGGTCTGGAGCCTGAGAAAATGACCTGACATTGTAGCAGAAGAAATGGAGGTAGGGTACTCTGTGAGCTTTTCATGGGGGAACTAGGCAAGAGGTGTAAAGATGAGGGGTTAAGACTGCACAGTCTTTAAGGGAAATAAGGAAGTAATTTCTTCCTGGAATCATCTTTTGAGGTGGTTTGAAAGGAAGGGACAAAATGGCTTCATAGTGAACATGTATCTTTGCTCTTTCCTGCTCTCTTTCCCTTTCTCTCTCATGGAATCCATGCATCCCTGGAAAAGATGTTGGTTGGAAAAATGACTGGTTAACAAGGATGCTGATGCACATGATCGGTAGTAATAATCAATAGTAAATAGTCAAATTCTCAGAATGTGGTTACAAGCCATCCAAATTCCTGCCAAATTCTCTCAACAGAGCAATCAGAGGAGGCTTTCGCATTATGGATTTATGATACTCACTTCTGACCATGGCATTCTGGCACTTGAATTATGGGCTGTAAAAATACTCACAGAAAGCTCTTGACTGGAACATAAATTGATTTTTGAATCATCTGCTTCCTCCAGCTCTATGAAAAATGAAGCATGATTTCAAGTTTAGCTAATATAAGGAAACCAGAGGGTATATTTCCAAAACTTATTAGATATTTCTGAAACGTGGGTGGAATTGGGGTCTAGATGGTCCATGCTACAGTAGTGGGCAGTTGGCCTGAAGCTAGAGGGCTGAGTCATGTCCTCTCAGCTGCTCCAGGCTGCTTCCTTCAAGTTGAGCTACCTTATCTGGGACTGTTTGGTGTGGCAGACCTTCCGAGGCCTCAGTGGGGAGGGAGTCCCTGCAGGCTGGAGGCTGAGGGGGTGGGATGGAGACCACGGTTCCTTTGCAGGACGGTAAGGAGGAGGGCCTCTGCTCCATCTGCCGGGAGCACCTAAAGGAGGCCGTGAGCATCGACTGTGGACACCTCTTCTGTCGAGGGTGCTTGGCCCATCACCTTAAGGTCTCAACGACCTCGGAAACTGTCAGCTCTAGCTGCCCCATCTGTCGGGCCCCCTGTTCTGAAAAGGTACTGGGAGAAGGCTACGTCTGCCAGAGTCACCAGAAGAGGGTGAGCTTTTTCTGTGATGAGAGCAGCCTTCTTCTGTGTGTGAAATGCCTAGAGTCCCCTGAACACCAGGCTCATCGGGAGCTGACCATTGAAGACGCCATCAGTCACTACAAGGTAAAGCCACGTCATTGCAGTCTGCCTCCACCTCCCTGAGTTTTACCCCCTTCTAAGCCTGCTCCTTATGCCTGGCACATCACAGGGCTCGATAACAGTGCCTTTATTTCTCCTGCTTAATTCTATTGCTTCTCTGTATTAATAAGAGTCTATTTTTAAAGGTCGGCAGTTCAAGCTCATCAGCTGCTCCTCGGAAACCCTATACAGGGTAGCTATGGGTCAGAATCGACTCGACGGCACTTAACAACAACAACAACAATTTTTAAAGGGGATATTGTCACTGTGAGGAATTTCTGGGTGGCACAAACACTTGACCACTAGTCAACAAGTTGGCGTTTAGAATCCATCCAGAGGCACCTGGAAAGACAGGACTGGCAATCTGTTTTTAAAGCATCACAGCCTTGGAACTCTAGGGAGCAGTTTAACTCTACACATACGGGGCTGCCCTGAGTCAGAATCAACTTGATGTAGCCGGCAGTAACAACAATGTCAGATTCCCAGGAAAAATGAGCTACCCTTGGTTTGCCCATCTGTAGAGTTAAAGATGGACTAGATAATGCGAAACCCTATCAGTACTGAGACATTGCCAAAACTCCATAGCTTCTACAGATTTTATTTTTAAAGTAAAAGAGAAAGGAAAAACAAAAAACAAAAACCCTGTCAGTACTAGATCTACATTACTCTCTGCTTGACAATGCTAGCAACATGGTCAAATACGCAATCAAGGTTTATATAAGCTTCCAGTGATCCTTCAGATACATTGAAACTTGGAAATTAGTACATGGCTCTTTCTTTCTCTTGCCCGTTTCTTTTGTCTTTCTCTTCTTCTTTTCCTTTCTCCCTCTCTTCCTAACTTCCTTCCTTTCTTCTTATTATGACTATGTTTATCTTATTGTGCTTTTTTTTTTTTTCATCCTAAAAGTTACATGCTGTTGGTAATAAAAGGTAACACAGAAAAGTATAAAGTTAAAGCTACAAACCATTCTCTTTGCTTCCCTCAATTCTCAGTACCCAGACAGGGCTAACATTGTAAGATTTTTGTGTTTCCTTCCAGAAAATTTTGTGTATATATACATTCTTAAAAACAAAATAAAAGCCCACAGAAGGACTCTACTTTTTTCTGTAACTCCTTTTCTTTATCATCTGGAAATATGTCTTGGACATTTCCTCATTTTCTTTTCAATACCTGTATTCTATTCAATTATATGAATATACCATAACTTAGCCGACATTTGGGGTTTTCCAGATTATTTGTTTTGCATTAAGATTACACAAAATGCTGCAATGAAAATACTTCAAATTACAGTTTAGAGACCTTAGACTAGCTGAGATATAGTTTAATGAAAGAGTAAGGTAGGAAATTAACTTTATCCAATAGAATAATCAGTTCCCCCAATGATTTGAGAGCCACCTTCACAATCTGCCAAATATGCATACACATTTGCATATTTCCTTGACTATTCTATTTTACTCTATTCTTATTTCTATTCTTGCCCATAGGCCAAATCGTTCTGAATATTAAATCTTTTGTAATATGTTTTGATGTTGGATAGGTTTTATAAACCCTACAGTTGTTGTCATTGTTAAATACCGTCAAGTTGATGTCAAACCGTAGTGACCCTGAATAAGGTTTCCAAGAAGTGGCTGGTGAGCTTGAACTGCCGATCTTGCAGTTCAAACCGACTTTGCAGTCCAGCTCATTAACCCACAGCGCCACACCAGGAGTCCTTACAGTATTACTCTCATTTTTTCAGCCATTTTTTTTTTTGTGGCTATTTGCACACATTTATTCTGCCAGTTAGCTTTGGAATTATTTTTGCCAACTCCCTTCCAAATCATCAAGTACTCAGTTGACTGGAATATTGGGATATTCTGACTGTGGCGTCTTTCTATCCAATAATGAGATATAGATTTCCAAAGTCTTCTTTTCAGTACTTGACTTTATGAGATCATGTTTTGATACAGAATGGGAAACTGGAGTCTAGACTGGGGTGACTACAAAAAGGTTGAGAAACAATTCAGAAAACCAAACAGGTGAAGTTCTCTTTGGTTTTGACATCATTTGGTTTAGGTGTAGTTCACCATAGGAGCAGGGGAGGGTTCCTGCCTGTTGATGAAGCCAGAGATACTTAGGAAGCACACTGTTTCCTGGCTTGGGATGGAGAAATCCACTCATTCATTTAATGCTTACTCAGGTTTGTACTTTGTGTAGGATGTTGTGCTAGGCATGTAAAAAATACAAAGATGATTCGTAGTCCTCATTTTTAGATCCACCTTTAGACTTGTCAGTATTATTCTCATTATCCTATAATAGGAAACTAAAATCAATGAATAGCAATGATATCTGCACATTTTAAAAGTTCCTACTGTGTGTTCAGAAGGAGCTCTGGTAGCGTAGAGGTTACGAATCAGGCTGCGAACCTAGTGCTTACGAATCGAAACTACCAGCTGTTCTGCGGGAGAAAGATGAGGCTTTCTGCTCCCGTAAAGATTTACAGCCTCAGAAACCCTGTACAGGGTCACTATAGGTCGGAACCAACTCCACGGCACATAACAACAGTTGTTCAGTATTGTAATAAGTGATAGAAATACAATGGAAAACAAGACAGATGTTATCCCTACTGCAGCTTAGTAAGGGAGACAAACAAATAAGGACTCAGATAAACTACAAGTGTTTTTTGTTTGTTTTATAAGCTAGGAAGAAAACAGGAGCTTGGTGGCTCCATATGATGAGCACTGGACTGCGAACCACAAGGTTCGTGATATGAGCCCACCAGCAGCTCTTCAGGAGAAAGATGAGGCTTCCTGCTCCCAAGATTTAAAGTCTTGGAAACCCGATTCAGGGTCGCTAAAAGTGGAAACTAACTCGAAGGGACATTACAACAACAGGAAGAAAACAAACAAGGGTCTGATACGGAAAATAATTGGCAGCCTATGGAGTTCCTGAATGGTGCAAACAGTTAACATGTATGGTTACAAAAGAAAAAAAAAGAAGAAAACCTTGGAGGTTCAGGTCCACCCAGATGGGCCTTGGAAGGCAGTCTTGATCTATTTCCAAAAATCAGCAGTTGAAAACCCCAGAGAGCACAATTCTACTACTCTAGCACACAAAGAGTTGCTCTGAGTCAGAATTGACTCCACAGCAACTGGTCATTTTTATCTTATATAGTCTAGTCAGTGAAAACCTTTTGGAAAAGATGGCTGTGGTAAATACTGGAAAAGAGAGAGCACCTAGAGAGGCCTCAAGTTAGGAAAAGTCTTGATACATTTGAAGAATTTATCGTTAGCGCTTGAATTGACAAGTTGTTAAGTGGGGCAAGAGAATGCGTGAAATCAAAGATGACTTAGTGTATAAGTTTCTGGTTTGAGAAACTGGATGAATGATGTGAAAGATAAGGACTAGGGAGAACAAGTTTGAATGAAACATCAAGAGTTTCATTTAGAACAAGTTGAGTCCAAGTTGAGACGCAGCTAAGTAGGGTCTTTGAAAAGCAGTTGGATATCAAGTCTGGATCTACAAAGAGAGTCCGTGGTAGTATTTCTAGCACCTAAGTCAAAACTCCATACTTATTCAACCTGTATGCTGAGCAAATAATACGAGAAGCTGGGTTCTATGAAGAAAAACGTGGCATCAGGATTGGAGGAAGACTCATTAACA